TTACGACAAGGTTGCGGGTTTGATCCCCAGTCAAGGCACCTACAAGAATCAACCTATGAATGCATAAATAAGTGGAACAGTAAACTTATGCTCCTCTTTCTCTCCTCTCCTCTCTCTCTAAAAATCAGTAAACGTTGCTTTTAAAGAATGCATGATTATTAGGCATTGCTCCACATTCTCTTCATTAGACTCTTCTGATTACCACACTGGTCCTGCTGCGTATGGGTATTATACCCACCTTTTGTCCTGGAAATGAAATTCTGCTCTTGCCTCTAGTACCCAAGGAAACTGGTGCTCATCACCCCTGAAATCAGCACTATCCCCTAGCACACCTGCAAACAGCCACAACAACCTCTTAGAATCAGATCCACAACACCATCATTGATAAGGTACACTATAGTTTCATGAACCGCTTAGGAGGAAAGAAAACTGCTGGCAAGGGGTGATAATGTACAATAATTTATAGTCCATCCTCATATCAGATACATGACAAATGTGCATCTCAGGGTGCATGAAACACAGTGTTTCTCAAAGCCTTGGTGGAGGGAAGCGTGTGTGCTCTTTTAAGGACCAAAGTTAGAATGCGAGTGAGCAGGTGCTACATGCTAATCCACTCCCACACTCTTATCTCGCTAAGACCTGAGATCCTTCCCATTCATTATCCCAGGTTACTTCTGACAAGTTAACTTTGTTTGACCTGGACTGCCATGGAGCCCGACTGCAGTCAGCCAGCTACAGAAACTGTTTAGAGCCGTTTCCAGCTGCTCGCATTAGCGCACTGAGTCCAAGACTGTGGTGTGCATACCTATAGCTCATTAACTTGATGAGTTCAGCCTGATAGAAGACTATGATTATCCCTTCTGTTCTAGCACCCTCGTATTATATTTGCCAGAGTTTATGCAAATGTTTAAATCCTCATCTGAGGACATGTTGCTGATGCGAGGAAGAGAGAGACGGATGTGAGACAGAAACATGGATCCTTTGCCTCCCTTACGTGCCCCGACCGGGAATCAGACCCACAGCCTTTTGGTGGGCGGGACGATGCTCCAACCAGCTCAGCCACCTGGCCAGCGCTATGCGGATATTTCTAGTGTAAGCCTTCTCCTGGGTCAGATTCCGTGTTTGTCTCTCGGTGGCGTACTGGAGTCTGACAGTTTTTACAGGTTTGGGGAAAATGAGGGGTGTGGAGATGAGAGGGAGGAATGGCCTTCTCAGTCAGTGAACTCTAGTGAAGTTATTAAGAGTTCTCAAGCAAGGTGGTAACTGCATCATCCGACGAGGGAGCTGTGACTGAGTCTCCTGGCGAGTGAGTTCCATTGCGGATTGCGACTCAAAGGTCCTCTGGTTCATCTGCATTCGCTCACACACCACCATGCCGATTCTCAAGGTCCTGTACATTTTCACATTAGAGAAGGGGGGTGGTGGTGATGAGTGAAACCAACACTGTAATTTGGCAACTCATCAGATCAAATGTTTAAGTCTGACTCTTGATCTTCTCGGCTTTTCCACTGCAAGCAAGCAGAGGTTCCTCTACCGTAGGCAGCCTCAGAAAGTCTGTGGTTTTCAGTCTGTGCTTTGATAGGAGGATTTAGGAATTAGAATTCATCTCTTTCTTTAAGCCAGTAGTTTGCATTGTAGTGACTTTTGTCTCCCCCAAGGGGACATTTGGCAATACCTGGGGGCATTTTCGGTCATCTCAACTGGGGAGGGGTATACCCGTTACTGGCATCCAGCGGACAGAGACCAGGGATGTTGTTAAAAATCCCATAATACACAGGATAACCTCCTGTGGCAAAGAAGTATCTAGCCCAAAATATCACTAGTTCTGGGGTTGGGAAGCCCATTTTAAGCTACTCTGCATAGTGAGAAGTAACCATCCCTTGCCACATCCTTTGGTGCCTCAAGTATGCCGATACTCCCTTCAGAAATCTCATATCTTTTGCCAAAAAAGATATGGTGACGTGATCAGATATAAGAAGCACCATGATTATTATTACTTAAAAATTTTTTGTTTTACCCTGGCTGGTGTAGCTCAGTGGATTGAGCACGGGTCTGCGAACCAGACAATCGCGGTTCGATTCCCAGTCAGGGCACATGCCAGGGTTGCAGGCAGGTTCCCTGCAGGCCAGTTCCCAGCAGGGGACTCACGAAAGGCAACCATACATTGATGTTTCTCTCCCTCTCTCCTTCCCTTCCCCTCTAAAGATAAATAAATAAAATCTAAAAAAAAAAATTTTTTTTTGTTTTACTTTTGATTTTAGAGACAGGGAGGGAGGGAGAAGGACAGGGTGATAAACAGTGGTATGAGAGAGAAATACGGGTTGGCAGCCTCAGGTACACACCCCAGTGGAGGCAGAACCTGCAACCAGCAACCCAGGCCTATGCCCTGACCGGAAATTGAACTAGTGACCTCTTGGTTTGCAGGCCGATGCCCAACCAACTGAGCCACACCGGCTGGGGCAGAAGCACCATTATTTTCTGAACTATGGAAGCAAAACCACGGTCACAATGTAGAACTAGTGATTTTTGACATGTCCTGGCATGTCCCCTTCATTCTACTGTGCGGGCAGCACTCAGCGCTGCCAAAGCCACTTCGTGGGCATTTGATCCTAGATGATAGGTGACACTGTGACTACTTCGCTTAGATTCATGTCCCTAAACACTTGCAAAATTTCAACTGCCTTCAGTCCCAAGTAGGCCCAGTAACTCACCCTCAAAGTCCTGTTGCCTACAACACTCTGGATACAAACTTCCATTTCTCAGTAGCCACATGTGTCAGGTGCGCATGCGTGCTCAGAAATCGGGACACTAGCTTGCAGAGGAGCTGGAACGACTGAGACGGCATTTAGGGCTACCAGGAGAATCACCTACGTCGGGCTACAGAACTGGCCCGAAGAGGCCCGCACTGCTCCCCAGCGCCAAACAGGGACGAGGTGCTGCGGCTCTGGCTTTGGACCGTCGCCCAGCGCCACCTCCCTGGCGACTTGTGCTCGAACTTGATTTCACTGCTGCTGCGTCCGAGCTCCTGCTGCTGCCTCTCCACGCACTGCCCGGCAGGGAAGCAGGGAAGCGTCTCCTTCAGGGCAGCTTAGCACGCGCTTGAGCTCCAGCCACGAGGGAGGCTGGATTGGCAGATATCAGGCCTGTTCAGCAGCTGCCATAGCAAACGAGTCATGCTGCCCTGGGCCTCACTGTGTGGGACATTCCCCAATTACAGGAAAGTGGTAGCTTCTGATTGGTTCCTAAGAATGGCAAAGGTCTGCTATACCCCTTCATAGCTCAACTCTCCCTTTTGCGCAAGACAGAAAACCAGGAAGTGTCCTGGGTTCTCCTCTTCACTTAGACCCTCAGCAGGTAGTTGGCTTTGTCTCCAAAATGTAGTCTTGCATCCGTTCTCTTTTCATCCCTTGTGTTAATAAGTTAGCACTGTTACCCATTTCATTGGATTCCTGTCATAGCCTCTTGTCTTCCCAAGTCTACACTTCTGCCCTTTAAATCCATATATATTCTCGGAAGCAGCAAGAGTGTGTTTCTTTGTAAATCACCCAGTAAAACTTAGCTTTAGCCCTGACCCATGTGGCTCAGTTGGTTGGGCATCGATCATCCGGCAAAGCCAAAGGTCACCAGTTCAATTCCAAGTCAGGGCACATGCCCGGGTTGTGGGTTCAGCCCCACACCCTGGGTTGGGGTGTGTACGAGAGGCAACTGATGAATGTTTCTCACATCACTGTTTCTCTTCCTCTCTTTCACCTTCCCTTCCCCTCTCTAAAAATAAAATAAACTCTTCTAAAAATGTTCATTTAAAAAAGCTTATTTGCTCTAAAGCCAATGTCTTTTTTTAACCTTTTTTTTTTAAAACTTAGAATAAAGCTAAAGTCCTTATTTGGTCTCTAAGGAGAGTGATCTCACACCCCATTTTACGTAGGGTATGATTTTTGAGAGAGAGCCTCCCGTATTCTCAGAAACACGTGGTTTGGACAGTAAGTTCCTGTCACTGTCCCTGCGGGTCCCTGCATCCCTGCTCCTCCCCTCCCCCCACTGAACGTCATTCACACGTGTCTTCTCTTGGCTCTTCTCTGTGCTTCGGGGCCTTTGCAGGTTCTGTTCCATCTGTCTGGGACACTTTTCCTCCCATTTCCCAACAGAGGTTTCTGCTTGTTTTCCTTCAAGGCTCAGCTTAACGGGCACCTCTGAGCCTCCTTTCCTTAGCTCTCTGTCTACCCAGCTCCCTCCGTGGTCTGAGGTTCAGTTGCTCTGTCTGCTTGTTCCACCTCTGTCTTACCCATTAGAGTGGAAGCTCCCTGAGGGTCTGGATTGTACATCCGGTCATCGTTGTGCCCCAGGGCCCGGCAGGGAACCTGGCACCTGATGGTGCCCTCAATAAAGAATTTGTTAAACAAACAGGTAGAGGAACTTCATTCCTTGACCCCTGATAAGGATGAGCTACCACGCTGACCTGTCCTCTTTTGCCTGCCTCACAGTGAACTTGGCAGTGATCGGTGTCATGTGAGCCTGATCGTCTGTTTTGCCTTCTGGATCACAAGCCCTAAGAATGGGCACGTCTCTCTGGCTGTGCTTAGAACAGGGAAGTTCAACAGGCCGGGGTTTGTTGGGTCTTCCACAGGGTCACCTGCCTGGGGGCTGGGGAGCAGGCGGCACCGGTGGTCCCAGCAGCCTGGCTCCAAAGTGCTGGGGTGCAGGGGGCCCTCGGAGAGGGCAGCAACTTCACGGTGGGCACTGTGTGCAGTGGGACAACAGACCTCGCCTTCTCGCCTTTCTCTTCGGCACATTTGCCTTTGACTTTCTCTGCTTCACTGTCAATCTGCCTCTTAGAGGATTCTTGAACCCCAGGAAGATCTGGGCACATCCAGAGCCCAGGCCTTCAGCAAGGCAAATGGCAGAGCTGGGAGCAAGGCCCCTGCATCCTGGGGAGGAGCTGGAGAAAGGTACAGGGAAGAACTTCCAGCTACCACCCTAACTTGATTCTGTGTTGTCTTTAGATGAAAACGCCAGCTCCGTGGCCAACTCTACGACAAAGAATCCAGGAACAACTGCCCCGCCCGATGACCCTGGGGCTGTAGCCCCAGCCCCGCCTGGTGACCCTGGGGCTGTAGCCCCAGCCCCGCCCGATGACCCTGGGGCTGTAGCCCCAGCCCTGCCAAGCACAAATGCTTCCGCAGCACTCAGTGGCTCCAGCACCACCACTGCCGTTGCAGGCGACCAAAAGGGTGTTCAAGGTTCAGGCCAGACTACCGAACCAACCACGACGAAGACTAACCCAGTTGTCCCCTCGAAGCCAGAAACCACAACCAGCCAGGATAAAAAGAAAGATACAGTTCCAACGGGAACCCAAAGCAGCCACAAAGTAGTCCCTACAGAAATCACAGCCACTACGGGAGGAAGTCTGACGACCTCTCCACCTCCGCAAGCGGTTAACACCTCGGGCACCCCTCCTGCTGTTCCTTCCTCAGCTGCCCCAGCAGGCTCTCAACACGGGACTTCGGGCCCCACCGCCCCGAAGGCTCCAGGGAGCTCACCCACGGGACCCCCACCGTCCAGGGGTCCAGACATGATGACGGGCCACACCGCATCTCAAGAGCCAACTAACACACCGAGTAAGTAATGCCTTTGATTTTCAAACAAAAGGGACCTTTTAAATGCTTAGAATCTATATAGTCGCTCAGCTGGACGATGGAGATTCGGGCTGAGGATTAGAGGTTGTTGAATACACTCCACCTGCATTCTGCCCACTTCCCATTTCAGTGCGGAGCAGAAGCCCACAGGGCTGTGCGTCCTGAGGAGAGGCCAGCGGCAGCCCCTCCCGGGCGAGCACGTGAACAAGCCAGCAGTCTTCGTGGGTGGGATGCTGGGAGGTCACAGCGGCAGGTGTCACTAGAAATTCTCACGTGAGATTGACGGCTGTCTGCCATAAAAACACACTTGGGTTTTACGCATACATGATGCAGTGCATGTACATATAAGATGCATGTGAAGTGCACATGACTGATACAAATGTTCACTGACCAGGGCTTTCCCTTACTGTAGGTGGCACAGCCTGATCTCTTCTATTCCATTCCACTCCCCACCCTCTTTAAAGGGCTGGTCTGACCCAGTAAATTACTTTCAGAACTCACTGATGGATCACAAGCCACAACAGGTCTGTCAGATCAGAATTTCTGAAAGCAAACCTGAGGCTCTGCGTTTTCCAGCCCCCCCCCCCCCCCAGGCAGTCCGGGTGCAGACTGAGGTCCACAGGCTGCCGCTCCAGAGGGGCACAGTCGGGTCCTGCTGCAAGAGCAAGGGCTCTGAGCTGGAGAAGCTGGGGTTCCAATCCTGTCTCTGCCACTTGTGAGCCTATGACATTAGGCAAATGGTCATGCCACTGTGAGCTTCAGTTTCCTTGTTTATAAAATAGGGAGAATTATGATACCTTCCTCCTGGCCTTGTTGTGAGGATTAAATAAGAAAGTACGTTTGGGCCCTGGCTGGTGTAGCTCAGAGGACTGATTGAGCACTGGACTATGAACCAAAGGGTCACCGGTTTGATTCCCAGTCAGGGCTCATGCCTGGGCTGCAGGCCAGGTCCCCAGTAGGGGGCACGTGAGAAGCAACCACACATTGATGTTTCTCTCCGTCTCTTTCTCCCTCCCTCCCCTCTCTCTAAAAATAAGTAAATAGAATCTTTTTTTTTTTTTTAAGTATCTTTGGAGCACTTCCGACAGTCTCTCCAGGAAGTCGGTGCTTCATTTCATGGTCGCTATCGCTGCTGATGTCATGGTCATTGCTGCTATTCCTTTCATCTTGTTCCCACTCAGTCTCATCCAGTCTGCGCTAGGTTACAGGAATTGGCCTCTTCTGCCTTATCTTCCTCATGGGCTGCTTACTCCAGCCTGCAGTCTAGGTCAGCGATAAGACCAAAGAGCTGAGGAAACTGAGTACGAGAAGACTGGCCTTTTTCTCCTAGAGGTACCGCTCCTCTTCTCTCACTGCCTTTGTTTTCCCAGCCACGGCACCCTCGGTTACCTCGGCCGGAAACCAACAGACCTACGTCAAGACGCCAGCCGTCCCTGGGACCACTGATGCCGTCACTGGGGTCACTGGGGTCACTCCCTGTGTCCCTGGGGCCTCTCCCTCCATCCCTGGGACTCTGCCGCCTACAGTCGCTCCATCAGGACCCGTGACCCCGCCTCCTGTCAGACCCACAAGCTCCAGCACTCAGTTGGCTCCAACTGCCCCCCAAGACTCCAACACCCCTTTTCCCACCTCAGCTCTTAAGGATGAGAGGGTAATTCTAGCAGGGGATGGGACAGCAAGTGAGCCCGGTTCCGATGGAAGGGGCTCTATCTGGGAAGAGTGTTTCTGTCCTTCCCTTCAGCCCGGGTCCCTGGCTAGGGTGGTAAGAGCCATCCAGTTGTCCTGACCCTAACCCCCACTAGCCCCCTCACCCCAGGTTCTGGCTTTAGACAGCCCAATAGCCAGTAACACACCTGGCTCTGAAACCCTGGCCCAGCCCAGCCCCTGGTCATCAGAAACTCCTTTTATATCTCATCCACCCAGGGGGAGGGAGGGAGGAGTCAAAGATGAGGTCCCATTAGCCTCAGCCTGAATGCTAATCCCAGTGGCTTCTTGCAGATTCAGTGTGAGCCCCCCAGGAGGCTGAACGAGACGATGCTCATCCTGAACGTCACAAAAACCGACCTCTGTGTGAGTACCTCACTACCCTAAGGCCCACCCTGATGTCCACCTCCAAAATGCAGTGGAACGGCAGGGTGGAAGGGAAGGAAGGGTCCCTTCGCAGAAGGGACTGAGAGCTGTGTTCACTTCCCGGTCTCGTTTTGTCCTACTAGTAGGTAGCGCCTGCCCACCTTGTACAGGGACAAAGCGAGGTTGGAACTTCTCTAAATGAGGCCGCAGCCCCACGGCCGCTGCGGGGCCCAACGTGCCAGGTCCCCTGGGCTTGCACCGGGGAACTTAGTCCCTTGCTGTGGGGGTTGAGAGACCCCACACCTAGTTCTTGTTTGCCTCTAGCTCAGGGTGACTTTAAGTCTATCTCTTTAGGCTTTAGCGGCCTCAGTTAAAAAGAAGAGTCTTTCCCCGACCCACATGGCTCCATTGGTTGGAGTGTTGTCCTACAGATCCAAGGGTTTGTGGGTTCGATTCTTGGCCAGGGCACAAGCCTGGGTTGCGGTTTTGGTCCCCAGTTGGGGCATGTGCAGGTCATCGATCTTTCTTTCCCTTTTCCTCCCCCTTCCCCCGTCTCTCTAAATCGAGGAGCGTGTCCTCAGGCGAGCCTGACTCTCCCTGTTCTGATTGTCTGGTTTTCTGTTTCCTGGCCCGTGGCTTCAGTGGAAGAACAGCGTGGAGGGATTCTTCCCCCAACCTGGGAAGTCAGAGCTCCTGAGCATCAGAGAGCTGTTGCCAACAGTTGTTCTACTCTGGGGTGGGGTGTGTGTGTGTGTGTGTTGGCGTGCAGTTGCCAGCCTGTGTGTGAGTCCATTTGCATGAAAATGAGAGTGTAGCAGTGTGTGCCTTCACACTGCCAGTCTCCAAGATTAAAGGTTTTTTACTCAGCGAATGGGCTAAGCTCTGTGAGTGCTAGTGATGGATGGCTCATTGCTGCCCTCTCCTGGTCAGTTCCCGTTTTCACAAACACCGGTAAGAACTAAACAGAACATTGGTTTCTAAGGATGGAGACCTTGGCTTTACGGCACTTTAACTATTTTCTGCAATGGTTTCCTTGTGTCCATGTTGCTGGTATTTCCCCCAAGTGAATTTTATGAAAGCATACCTTTAGACCAGAGTTTTCAAAGGCAGCGAGCTGTGTCCCCCGAGGTTGGGCTTATTGGACCAGGCAGGGTCCGCCATTGACACCTTCCCTCAGGCCCTCTTTTTGGCTAAAACTTGGCAGGCTGTGTCTTTGAGCGTGAGAAGCATTTTTTCTCTCTCCTATGAAAAGAAGGCGGAAATCCCTGGATCCCTACCTGGGGTCAGGCTGGGGAATTAGAAGCCTAAGGAAATTCCAGGTAGAACCCTAACAGATGGCGTGTGTAGGGCAGGTGGGAGCGTTCTGAAATAAGCCAAACTAAGGGTCTTTTTCTTCATCTCAGCCCTATTCCAAACTCAGGCCACGGGAACGTCAGCCCAGGGAGCTTCTGGGGGGTGGGGCAGGGTTGGGTAAAGCTGCCCACACTTAGCTTCTTCACCCTCACCCCTAAAGCCATGTCAGCCAAGCTCTTTCTGCTTAGAAATACAGAGAGCTCCCCCCCAAGACATCCCCCAGTGTGTCTCCAAGATACCCCCACATTCCCCCAGTCAGTGGCGGCCCGGCCTTCCTTCCTGTCGTCTTGCTTTCATTGTCGGAGGGGCTGAGCCTGGGAGACGCATGCATTTGCACTTCAGGATAGGTCTCCTTGAGCAGAGAGCCATGCATCCTCTCCCGAGGCCTCCGAACTGGGTCTCAAGGCTGGAGAGAGGTTCCCAGAGAACTGGTCTTCCCCACAGGCACTGCCTCCCCCAGCCCCTTCTAGAGAGAGAGGTAGTAAAGGGCATTAGATTGTGACCCTGTTAGAGCTTTGTGGGAGAAAGGAGCGCTGCAGGGGGAGGAGGTATTGTCAGCCACAGAGAGGATAAACGGAGAGGGGGGCGGGGGCAGAGGTTGGCATGGGGCTCAGCGGGCAGGGCCAGGTCCTGGAGAACAGCACAGAAGTCCTGACTCTGGCAGGCTTGGGAGTGGCCCCAGTGGAAGCTGGAGAGGGGAAGAGGTTCGTGCTGGGAACAGCATCCTCCTGGCCTTGGCCCCAAAGGGCAGCCCCACCAGCCTAGGCTGCCGTTGGGCCCCCTGGGGAGTCACCTGTGGTCTCCCACAACAGGCAGGGAGCCCTTCGGATGACAAGCTGGCCACACTGCTGTGCCGAGCAGCAAAAGCCAACTTCGACCCAAGTCGAGACCAGTGCCATATATGGTTGGTCCCTGCTTCAGATGTCCAGGCCGTGGCAATCAAAGAGGTCACCATCCAGAGTGAGTTGGGGACAAAGAGGGGCTGAGCCCTTTGTGGGGTGGGAAAGGGGCGGGGGTGACAGTTCAGGAGCCAGGAGATGGGTCATTGCTGGCACTCCCTCAGTTTCCTGCGAACTGAATGGCCAAGTCATTTCCCTTCCCAAGCCCCGCCCAGAGGCACTGCTCAGAGGGCAGGGCGCAACATGCCCCCTGTGGGGACCCAGTCTCTGTCCCTTCCCAGATCACTCTGAGCCAGAGCGCTGAAGCATCATCTCCCCTCTCCCCCACAGCAAAGCTCCTTCCCAAGGACGTGTACGAATTGCTGAAGGACAAATGGGACGACCTCAGGGAGGTAAGGCGGACGGACGCCCCCTACCATGCGCTGGAACAGATGGGGTGAGGAGCCTGTCCCTCGGGAGTCCCCGGTCACTTTGCACCACAGTGTCTCTCTCGTGGTAGACGAACCTCTAATCTGCAAGCATCTAGAAGACAGGAGGGCGTGGGTGGGGACAGCAGGGCAGTGTCCTGGGCCCTGCCAATCCCCAAGCGGAATGATACACGGGACTTCGGAGACGGGGTGACCGGAACCTGTTTGCTGCCACCTAACTCTCTCTTTGCTGGCCAGGCGGGCGTCAGTAACATGCAGCTGGGGGACCAGGGGCCGCCGGAGGAGACGGAGGACCGGTTCAGCATGCCCCTCATCATCACCATCGTCTGCATGGCGTCGTTCCTGCTCCTCGTGGCGGCCCTCTATGGCTGCTGCCACCAGCGCCTCTCTCACAGGAAGGACCAGGTGAGGTTCCACTCTTCTGGCCAGGGAAGCAGACCAACCCACCGGGTGACCGTCACCCAAATTAGAGCAAAGCGAACGGGCCCCGAACCCAGGCAGACACCAGCTGTTGCGGAAATGGACACCCGCCTGGCGGGAGGGAAGCGCATGGGCTTCGGGAGTCAGAAAGGCTCGGTTTAAGCCCTAGCTCTGCCTCTTTCGTCTGTGTGACCTTGAGCAAGTCATGTAATCTCGGAGCATCAGGTTTCTCATCTGCATTGTGGGGAGAAGACCCACCTTGCCGAGCTGCTCCAAGGAACTGCTGATGTCAGTGGGCGCAGGCGCCCCTGTCTAGCCAGGAGCGGTTCCTTCGCCCACCTGATTACGATTCTCCTCGTTACGCTTCCACCCAGACTCAACCCTGGTTCTCGATCCCGGCTGTGCACTGTGGGAGCTTTAAAAACATTCCTGTGCCGGCAGCCTTGCACCGCAGTGGAGCGCAGTCTCCGGGTCAGTGTATTGGTTAAAAGCTTCCCAAGTGACTCGACTGTGCTCCCAGGTTGAATCTTAAAGACGGAGGAGAGAAAGCACTGTCTCCAGACAGCCCCTGTCTGCAGCAGAGGTGTCTGTGCGCTCCACGGTACCCGATGTGCGTGGGCTTGGAGAGGTCCCGGGCCGCCCATCTGGAGAATGTGTTCTTGCGACCCTTCCCAGCTCAGTACGGTGGGGGGAGGCCGGGGCCTGGCGAGGAAGGTTCGTGGAGAGGGAGGGGAGGGAAGAGTGTGGAGGACTCTGGAGAACAAAGTCCATTTGCTCTGACTCCATGGCTTTGCCACCAGCGTGGTGGCGAGGGGAGCTGGGACTTTTAGGAAGTCCTCACCTCCAGCCCGCCCAAGGCAGGCCGGTAGGCAGGATGGCCTCCAAGAGCATTATTGCTCATATGAGCCAAACTGGGGCTGCTGGACTCTAGGGGTGCCTGTGTTACCTGGAGACTAGTAGTCCTCACAGATGACCCTTTCTCCTTGGCTCATCTTCCCCACTCCAGCAGCGACTCACAGAGGAGCTACAGACGGTGGAGAACGGGTACCATGACAACCCGACGCTGGAAGTGATGGAGACCTCCTCAGAGATGCAGGAGAAAAAGGTGGTCAACCTTAACGGGGAGCTGGGGGACAGCTGGATCGTGCCTCTGGACAACCTGATGAAGGATGACCTGGATGAGGAGGAAGACACCCACCTCTAACCAGGTCTGCTGGCGGCTGCCGACAGTGCCACGGCACTCCCGACCGAAGCACCTCAAGTGCCGACTGGACCAGGGAGGAAGGTCCTCCCCATCTGAGGAAAAGACTGGGGTGAGGGGGGGCTAAGCAGACTCAGAGGGACCTGCCTCCCCATCCCCACAGGGCCTTAATTTTTCCCTTTTTGAGCTGAACAAATCACACTCTGTCTAGATTCCTCTTGTAGCATAACCCACTAGTGCCTGAGCTCAGAGCTGCTGAAGCTGAGAGGAAGAGAAATAGAGGAAAGAGCCATCTAAGGGACCTTAGAGATCATCTGGTAGAATCCCTCCATTCCACAGACGAGATGACTGGGGCCTGAGGAGAGTAAGGTCAAGATCACACAGCTACGTGGTCCTAGTGGACACAAAGTTTCCCTCTTCCGTCCAGTGCTCATTCCCACCTTGTCGCCCTGCTTTGGCCACTTGCACTCTCCCTGCGGAGCTGCCCTGGGCAGTGGGGAAGCTGCCAGTCTTCAGATGGGGACAGAAGGGGGAGCAGCGCCAGGTCCTGTCTCGGCGGGATCCGATTACTTGAAAGTGTAGGGCCCAAGTTCAATCTCCTACCCCAGCCTCCTCTGCCAGGGTTCCCGCCCCCTTTGCTCTTTCTCCTCCCTTCACTCAGTTTTTATTCCCACTCTGTCTCAGGGCCCTGGAACTAACACAAGTCATTCGTGACCTTGAACACCTTGTTCTGACTTCTGGTTTCTCGACATTTGCTTAGTGACATTGGGATCTCATCCACACAAGACCCCCGGGGGAACGAGGTCTGCTTAGGGTTCTGTCCACAAGTGAATAGCAGGGGAAGCCCTTCCTCCTAGGATGAGTCCTGGCCCATCACCCCAGGTGCTCCTATAAGAGGCCCCCCAATTGTTCCCTTGGCCTCCCATTTGCACCACAGCAGCTACTGAAGGCAAACTGTTCCTGTTTTGTTTGTGCACTGCTCATTCAGTGGGACCTGAGCTAGGGAACCCCACCCCCCTGAGAGCCAGCCTGAACAAGCAGCTTCAGGACAGCCTTTCCCGGGACCCCCGATGGGAGGGAGGTGTCCCAAGAGACAATCGGTGGAAACAGCCAGGAAGGACGGGCTTCATTCACTGTTTCATGGGAAATTCGAGGACTTTTTCAGTTGCTGAGAGTTTTGTTATTTTGATGTAGGTTGTTTGTTTGTTTGTTTATGTTTTTTGTAAATCCAGCCCTCTACTGCCAAAGGCCAAAGCTCAGACGATAGGGAGACTTTCAGTTAAGTCATCTCACCGATTGATTGCAAGTCTCCTGTGCTGCAGGGCAAGAAAGGCCTGGAAAGTTCGGTGTGCATTTTCAGGTGCATGCGGGGCAGCCCGGGGGACTGGCCGTCTGTCTGTTACCAGCAGCCTTACTGTTCTGTCACCAAACCGTGTCCTCTTCTCTGTAGTCCTGAATTCTCCGGCGGCATCTCAGGGACAAAAAAACGGCGCCTGTTTTTTTGGTGGAGGCACCTGGAGGGAGCTCAGCAGTTAGTGGCCCCGTGGCGGGAGCCTGCGGACTGGGCGTGGCGAGGTTTAATCTGATTTTCTGGGAAGGGAGGATCCGTTGTGGAATGTCGGACTTTGCCCAAGGTCTCTTGTTCCTGGGCCTAAATTTCCTGGGACCAACAAGGAAGATGGGCGGAACTGCTTAGGAGAATGAAACTGGCCATTTCTGGGCAAAAAGCCTGAAGTCCAAAACCTAGAGGCAGGCCCAGGCTGCGACAGCTCTGATGAAATAGGCTCTCTGCTTTGGGATAGGTTCCTTAAAAAAAAAAAGTGGGTGGGGAGGAGCTGAGGGGGGAGATGGATGTCCTTCCCCAGCTGCCTGATTCCTTCTTCACTGCATTTAGCCCTTTGGCCTTGGAGTTCAAGTTGGCCCCAGTGAACTTCCCAAGAGCCAGAGAGATGCTGGGCTAACAAAGATCCCAAAGCATCCGCCTCTAGTATGGAGAAGTTGGCAGGGTGGAGAACAGCAGTAGTTGGGGGGAAAGAGAGGGGATCTTGTCACAGTGGAAAAAGATCTGATTTTTTCCTTCTTGCCCAGTATATGGTTCATTCCACCCAGTGGGTTTCTATCATGACCCCTGGGGGAGAGGCCGGCAGGATTCCACTGCTTTGCTGATTCTGGGTCCTGTTTCACCAGCCGGGCCTTTTGACAAAAACAGCAAATACGTCTCTGGAAATTGACCTCCAGCCATGATCCACAGGCCTCTTGGGGAGAGAGATGACGCCTGGCAGTGATTAGAGAGTGACCGTTAGCCTCGGGTGAGAGCCGGTTCGGAGGTTCCATTGTTTGGTGCATCCAAACTGTGTTTCTCTAGCCTTTCAGGGCAACTGCAGAGCCATCGAAGGCCGTGCGGCTGTTTATCCGTGAGGGCCACAGTCTTCCCATCTCTGTACTGGGCTCCGACTCCTGGCTGGCAGTTCAGATTCGGGGGCTGAGGAGAGAGGGGAGGAACAACCAGAACTCATGGCTTCAAACAAGTTGTACCAAAGGGAGATGATGAGCTCTTTACTTCAGTGACACACTGGTTTCCATAAGCTGCAGACAAGGCCTTCTGCAGGGATGACCGGACAAGCCCGGGGGCGGGGGGGGGGGGGGAGTGTACCGTCCTGTAAGCGGGGAGGTGGGGGGGGGCGGCGGCAAAGCAGTGCTTTGGAAGGCCTTGGGGTGGGTGGACCGAATACGGGTGCGATCTGGACGCAGGCTCCCGACTCCCCTCTTGGTAAGGAGAGCTAGCAGAAGGTTTCATGAGACCACTCCTGAGCTTTACCCCTTTTGACAATATGCTGGAGAAACTTTGAACAAGTTCAAGCTGATACATATATACATATTTTTATGGTTATGTAAATAAAATGGCCACATGTTGTTCGTCCACCCAGCACGGCTTTAAATGAATATATTTTGGAAACATTTGTTAGACATAGAAGTGGCTTTTTTTCTTTTCTCTGAACAGGAATGTAAATGTCTATTTTCCTAGAAACGATGAGTTTTTGTTTGATTTTTCTTTAATGAAAAAATGAAATGTAAGACAGGCTGATGACAAAGTATTTGTCTAGCATATCGGAAAGTTTTCTTTTCCATGAGACCCTCGTGCCCTCCCCAGCAAAGTCCCGGCCTGTTGCAGTCAGGGTGGCGGTCAGGGAGCACTGGTTGGAAAGCGATGCCCTGGTCACTGGGAGGGAGCTTCTGGGACCTAAGGCCTGGGCCAGTTTTTTCTGTTGTGGTGTTTTTAACAGAAGCCCAGAAAGATTCAGGGACTCGGCCAAAATCCCATGGTTAGTGACAGGAACAGGATTAAACCCTGGGTTGGCAGACTAATGCTGTGTGCCTCTGCTTTTTTGTTGTTTTTTTTTTTTTTAATTTTTATTTTGAGAAGGAGTACATTAAGACCTGCTCATTAGCCACAGGCATTATTAGCATGGCACGAGACCAGAATTCCCTGCTCAGGTCTCATCCTGCTGCAGCGCGAGTCTCGGGGGCACAGGAAGACCAAACAAGCCTTCTACACCTCCTCTGAGTTATTTAGGCCTGAGACTGACATGAACCACTCTTTTCTGTCAGGAAGACAGTTTTGAATGAGCTGTTACCTATGCTCCTAGCAGACTAAGGATCACAGGGAACAAGATCGGGAAGGCAGACGCACAGAGGTCTGGTGAAAACCCCGCCCTGAGTGACGGGAGGGCATCGCTGTCTGGTGGGAGGGTCTATGTTTTTAGTGAATGTGAAACAGTTTGCCCGGGAAACGTGGTGGACAGGGGTCTGAAGTACACTGGAATTTACTGAGAAACTTCTTTGTAAAGGCTATACTTAATTATCGCCATTTTTCTTACACAAATATATATTTTTGAAAATTGTATACTGTCCATTAAAGTGCTTTTGTGTAAGCTGATTCAAGCCCCAGTACTGTGCTCTCATTGGCTCGCAGTCTTCACTCCGGAGGCTCAGCCCGAGGCTGAAATAAAGGTGAAGGGAGGGGCCCTGAGCTGCTGCTGGTCTGAGATCGCTGCAGGCTGTTGGTGCTCTCCCCACTGAAGGGGCCTTTCCCCTCACAGCAGCGTTGCACCATTGCTTTACCTCTTCCTTCCTCTCGCTGCTTCAGGTAGAACTGAGTCACCCAACACTAAAGAACTCGGGGGGCTGCTGAATCCGGGTCAGGTATGAAGACACTGGCGCGGAGACAAATGAAAATAGTAAATAGTCGGAGGTCCTGTCCTTGCCCTCTTCCTGCCCAAAGTAGGATCCACTTACCTGTCAGGAGAAGCCCCTGCCTGTCCCTGATCTAGATGCGGTGAAGACCCAGGGGGGTCCGGGAAAGGAATCCCTCAGAGATGGCTTGGTTCTCTTCACCTGGGGTGGTATGATCTACCTGTGTGTCCGCACTGGGAGGGGGGCACTTGGTCCCCATTCCAGAGGGACCATCAGGCAGATCTGGTCCATGTCCGTGGCTGCCATACAACAGTCTTCCAAGTATCGGGCCTCTTACATTTACAGAACATTTTTACTCATGTTATTTAGGAACTCTCGCCACTCCACCAATAGGGAAATTAGGTCCAGAGAGTACAGATTCCCTTTAAGTCTACACAGGTAGCTTTGGCTGGTGTGGTTCAGTGCACTGAGTGCTGATCTGTGGACCAAAAGGATGCTGGTTCAATTCCCAGTCAGGGCACATGCCTGGGTTGCAGGTGGCTTCCCAGCTGGGGGCATGAGAGGCAACCAATCACTATTTCTCTCACACATCTTGTTTCTCTCCCTCTTTCTCCCTCCTTTCCCCTCTCTCTAAAAATAAAATCTTAAAAAAAAATAAAAGATTACACAGGTATTTAAAGGGTCATGTGAGGCCTTGGATCTACGTCTGTTCTGTCAGCCTTACACTCTCTTTTTCAACACATTAATGCTCGAGTTCTGACCACACAGTGGATTTCTAGACTGCAAGCACTGACTGTTACAATATGGTTTTCTTTCTATGCGGGAGCTCTGAAAGGGAGGTCACGTCCTTAGGGTGGACCAGAGTTGGACCGGGGGTATTTTGAGGTTAACCTGCAGCGTGTGCCAAGGAGACAGAAAGGAATCCAAGTACCAGGAACTCAGGCAGGCCCTGGACCGTGCTCGAGGCTCACTGTTCTAAGAAGAGAATGACTCATAGTTTACCGTTGGCTACAAATTAGACCTAAGTCTCCATTCTCTTCCTGAATAGGTCATTCACCCTCCTCCCTGCCCTGCCAACCAAGAGCCACTCTCAGTTGTCATTTTAAATTTGTTTTGCCTCTCCGTCACTCCCAGTCTCCCCCTGCCCTTGCTTTTGTACCTCAAGGGAAAGAGGAAAGCAGAGGACTGGCTATTTTAATTAACACTGGTGATGAATCCCGACATAGCTAGTATTTTTCAAGGACCCTGGCATCTTAAAGACTGAAAAGTCAGCCGGATCCTGGCAAACGGGATCTGCTGCCAACATTTACTTCAGGGACGAGAAAGTGAGGCAGAGAAGTTAAGACTGTGCCCGATGCTGTAGTCACTGGCGGGTCTGGAAATAAGTTGGATTGCTGACCCGTGCGCTGGGCTACCCGTTCCCACAGCCCAAGTGCAGAGGGCAGCTGTACACCAGATGCCACGGACATTGCCAAGGGTCCTAATCTCCCCTCCTAGGGTGTGCCGATCAGAGCTGAGCAGCACAGCAGTGGACAGGCCACCTCTAACAACAGCTTTTCTCTTCCTTCCCTGGAAGAAGGAAGTTTCTACATGCAGCTGGTGGCCTCTGCCTCCCCTAGGGGAAAGCTCAGAGGGAGGAAAGTCCCACACTGGTGGACATTGGAGAAGCTTCATAGTAAGAATGCTAGGAGGGTGCCAAGCACCATCCACTGTCCACCTTCCCTGTGCCTCCAAGACGTAAAAAGCACAGGAAAATGTGGCGTGACGTGCGCTGCCCAAGGACGGCAGGAATGGAACCAACTGGTGTTGAAGCAGGTGCCAGGGCTGAGTCCTTTCACACTCATGTACCTTCCAGCTGGGAAGGGTTAGGGGTAAGGAATACTGCCTTCCTTAACACAAAAACTTTCGGGAATTTCTGTGAATTTTGTGGTTGTGAATACAGGCACACACTGGCCATCCTCCCATGAGGTGCCGGGTTACCTACCTCTCAGGGAACCAGAAGCCCCCAAGGCAGCTCTTCCAGTCCCCATTGGTCTCCACAGTCCGGACAAGCGGGAACAGCGGGGACTGTGGCTGAGGCCGACAGAAAGCCTGCTTGGCTCAGTGCTGTCTACCTGCCAGAAGACGAATATATCAGGGAAGGAGACTGTGTCCCCCATTTCAATCCATTCAGTTAGTTTGGAGGATTAACCAGGGAAAGGCCAATTCCTTACCTTATTGCTTCACCTTTCCCTGTTTTGAAAACAACTATTATTCATGAAGCATGCTCAACCCACACTCAAGAAATGAAAGCAAGACAGCAAGATGGATTATTGGATTTGTTAACCAAGAAAATGTAGTTCTTATTTTTAAATGTAATGAGTTGACAACGAACTCGCTGCCGAGTGTAGGATGACTAAGCCAAGAAAACGTGAACCAGATGAGAGAGGAGGGGCCAAGAGTAGAGCTGGTTACTGAGAATCCAGCTGAAGGGCTCACCGGCTCTAACTTGCCTTTTCTTGGATGTGATTCTGAGTTTTCTTCAAGGTTCAGCCTGGACAGGAAACCAGAATTCCTCTAAACTTTGCAATGCCTCCAGCTCTAGGTTCTCTTTCTTCTCTATCTTTTCTACCATTCAATTTCTATTTCGGTTCATTTTTTTTCTTCCAGTTCCTAACTGGTACAAGTATGTCCCCCTTAAAGAAAACCTGAAAAACACGTGTCCAAATGTACAAAACATAGAACAGTGCTGGTCATTAACACAGATTAAAATCCCCATTTTATGAATTTACCACTGTTCTTTAAAAATGAATACTTCCCCAGAAACTCTGAGGCCCACAGAACTTTATTTCAGCACTCTCAAAGAAAAATGGCCAATGGCCCTTCTACATGGTATATCATTTTCCACCTTTTGAAGCCTGAATAAAACCTTTTAGAGGAAAAAATATAATAACTGCAAAGTACACGTTTTAAAAGTTGATTTCAAAAGTAGTCTTAGCAAACAAGAGACATCTAATAGTGTCCATATATAATGTTTTATTAAGAAAATGAACAAAATACATTCTTTCTCCATATGTACATTACATACAACAATTCTACAATTGCAATTGTTCAGCAGATCACTATTCACAAAGCAGTGTTGATAACACATTCATCAAACCTGGGGTCAGATTACTTGGACTAAACCAACAAACCCTACAATGTCCACACAGATCGAGCAAAAAAAGTAAGTGAAACTAGAAAGGATTGTAATGCAAAGGGGAAGACTGCAGAACACTCAACGTAACTCCACAGTGGTTTAGAACAGCAATGATACGAGAAGAGATCTGATGCCCTAAAGCACTTGTTTAAAAGCTACAACTTGCTCCTGTCTGCTGTTCTGAGTTCCCACAGGATTTCCATTTCAGATGTAGGCACCTCAGGATACAGCCCTGGGCCCCTGCACCGTCACAGAAG